CGCAGAGTGAGGGGAGAGGGGGGGGGGCCGAAACGGAGGATGAACGACGGAGCATGGAAGGGGGAAGGAAGGAGGATGAAGAGGACGACGATGGAGAGGCCCCCAGGCAGCATGCACTGTGAGCGAGGGAATTTCTCTCGCAATTCTTGACTCGCATGTGCGCTGACCTTGATCGGCCTACACCTCTTGCGTGAAACCGTGAAACCATGAAGCCGTGACGACACGAAGAAGGACGACGACACAACGGGGGATTCACCTCCTGCTCCTCCTCTTCCTCCTCGTCCCCTTCCTTATCATCCTCTCCCCTCTTCTTCCCATCCTCCTCCTCCTCCCTCCAATCCTCCCAGATTGAAAATTGTCCCGGAAGAGCCCTGCCCACTGTTTGGGGCCATTCGTTGCAGCGGGGGAGACAGGGCAGAGGACGACGAGGAGAGCAAGTAGGAAAGCCAGGCCAACAAGTCCAGTGCATGGGCGCACAATGAACGGAGAGGCCAGCCACCCCCCACGACCGCAGGCGCCCACGCCACCTTCCTTGCAAGAGAGTTGGCAGACGTGGTGGCAACGAGAAGTGCACAAGAATCGAGCCGCAACGCTCGGAGCCAGGTTGCTGCTTGCAGCGCTGGCAGTGCGTGGGGTGTGATTCCCAGCAGAAGCGCAGGCTGCGCCCAGTGCACCAGAAGCGAGCCAGAACGCTCGCGAGGCCCACACAAAGTCCACGGGAGAGACACTGGTCACTGGTCCAGGGCCTTTGCAGCTGGAAGAAGAGATCATGAACCCGGCGCGAGCCCAGCCGAGGGCGTTTCCTATTGCACGGGCGCAAGTTGCGTTGCTTGGCATGTGTCTTGGCATGTCGATTGGCATGTTACCTGGCAGTGCTTGGCACTGCGTGGCATGATGTGGTGTTCCTTTGAATTGATTTGCGTTTGCGTGGAGAGGCAGCAAGAAGCCAAGACCCAGAAATCAAGAAACCAAAATACCACGCAAGACACGATAACAACAATCAAGGAAACAACAATACCAAACCATCACGACCAAGACAAAGAACCAAGAAACCAAGACCGAAGAAGCCAGGAAACTCCGGCTGGCCAGGCACCCCACCAACCGATTCCCATCACTAACAAGTGAGACACCTTAGGCAAATACTAACCAGGCATACAACTAAATCCAACATATCCAATACGCCACTTGCCAAAACAATGGGCACGGGACAGCGATGGTGATGGCGTGAGTGCCAGAAGCGAACCAACACGCTTGGGTGAGCCTCCCGGAAGAAGCGTCGGCGGCAACCCGACAACGCGATGTGCGACGGCCGCGAGCTGCCACACCCGGAAGATTCATGGCAAGGGCGTTGGCAGAAATGCTGGCAGCGAGAACTCAACCAGGAGCGAACGAACATGCTCCGAATGAGTTTGCTGCCGGCGTCGCTGGCATCGCGATGCGCGGAGTCCGTGACATGGCTCGATTGGGGTGAGTTTCCTGGCAGCAGCGTTGACAAGGACTTCAAGGAGAAACTGGCCCAGGGAAACATCATCCTCTCATGGCGACTGGAGACGGAGAGAGGGGACACACAAGGAGGGAAAGGGGTGGGGGAGAGGATGCGTTCAGTGGAAAGGTGGGGAAAAAAGAAGAAGACGAATAATACTAATAATACAAAGAAGAAGGAGCCTCTGGGGCCGTGGCGGGGAGAGGCGAACGTGCGTGGAGGAGCCTAAGGAACGAGGGACAAGGGATTACACAAGGAGGAGGGAGGCAGCAGGGGGGCGCGGCCCACCACACCCGCCTCGCAACTTTGGGGGGGGCAGAGGAAGGGAGAGGGTACGCGAATGGGACACAGGCGGCAAAGACCACGGACGAAAGAAACCCCGTCCAGGGGCAAGGGAAATCCGCTGCCCCTCGGTGGAGCTATTCATTTAGGCTGGGGGGAGGAAGATGAGGAGTGGGCACAGGGGGAAGGAGAGTGACGGCAAAGGAGGATGAGGACCAGGAAGGAGGAACAACATGACGTGGAACGGGGGGCGAGGCTGATAATGGGGGGGGGAAGAGGTTGCCCCTCTACTCTGACTCCTCGCCTTGGGCATTGGGCGGAGCGGGATGGAGGAGGGGGGGGGAGGGGACGGTGAAAGGGAGCAAGCTAGCTAAAGAGAATCATCGGATAATGGTGGACAATGGCTGTAAGGACAAGCCGGATGGTCAGTAGGAGGTCCCCCCCGGGGGGGGGATGGGGCCGAAAGAACGCACGCACCTCCCAAGACCGTCACCTCCTCAGCGGGCCGCCGGGAAAATGCTGGCGCGGGCGAAACGGCCCTGGAGGCCGCGAGGTCCGCGAGGGCGGCATGCCGACCGCGGTGGGATAACATGTAGAGCTCCATCTAGGCGTGGCGCTGTTTGAAGTTAACTCTGCAACTTATGACATATATGGGAGCACAGCGCGCTCAGGCAATTCTCTCTGTCAAGAGAGAACACCCTCTACTTTCTATCTACATTGTATACTGATAGCGAGCCGAATCCCAATCGAACAACCGGGTCGCGTGGGATTGTAGAGCGCAAGGAAGCAACGAGATGCACGAGGCGCAAACAAGAACGATAGTGGACAATAACGCCAGGCTTCGCAAGAACAGCCCCCAGACGCTCATCATAACTTCCGAGCCTGTAACCCTTCGGACCGAGATACCCGCGCGGGCAGAGGTGGTCCCATCGCCTGCAAGCAGATTAAAACGAGGCCATACTCTCTCAGACACCAGCTGGGACAGAGTGGCCGTCAGCTTCGCCTATTGAGCGCAGATGACTGCCTTTGACAGGGGCGGGCGATCAGGCCACCGCGTCTCAAATACTCCGACTTCGATTTCCAATGCCTGGCGGGACGCCGACTTCGATTTCCAACCAGCCGACAACCAGAAGCGCGGGCGACGTCGATGATGACCACGGCGGTGGAGCTGGCCAGGAAGGAGCTGACAGACAGGGAGACAGTCAATGACCGCAAGGTTGGGCAGAAGAAGTAGCTGATGACACTCGGATCAGTGGTGCGAGCCGCGTGGAGGCAAGAGGTTCGGCCGGCACGCAACAAGACAATGCGAACAACGACGGGCCAACTTCCCTGTTCCATTCTTCAAGCTTTCCCGGCTCGATTGCTTCCGCAGAATCCGCCTCAACCACAGCAGGTGTAGACTGCAAGTAACTTACATGTTTGACTGCACCTTTGATTTGAACAGTGACACATGCTTTTCACAACATAATCTGCCAGGGCTGCGCTATCACTGGCCGCACTGGATCCACCTGCAGCTCCTGCTTGGGCATCTCTGTCAGTAGCATGCTCCCAGAGATCAACCTGTTGAAGCGGATCTCCCATTGAATCAGCCAACTCTGTTCTGGCTCTCGTCATTTCTCCGATGCGGTTCTTCACGTGGCCAGCCTCGTCGCCAGCGCCGCAAGCACCAGCAGCCGCAAGAGCGGCACGCCCGCGCGCAGCCCTGGCAGAGGTGTCTGGATGTGGATATGGGGCGCAGTGATGGCACAGTGCCCGCTGGCGCTTGACACGCCAAAACTTCTCTGAGGTGAGGCTGGCTGCCAACTCGTACGTGCACTGTTACCCGCTTGAGACAAAATTGAACCAGAAGGGAGGCAGAAGGAGGAAGAGAAGGAGAACGAGGAGGACGAGGATAAAGGTGAGGCCGACCAACTGCTGCTGATCATCTTCCTACTCCTTGACCCTCAATTGCCTCCTGCCGCCCTTCCCTCCTCCCTTCCTCCTCGCGGTCAGGGGCGTGGTCAGGGACGGGAGGGGAGGTCCTCCTTGACATCCCCCCACCCCCCTCACTATGTTTCCCATCCTAGGTCGTACATCGCCATCCTTCTCCTCCTCGAGTTTGTCTTTGCCTCCAATCTGCTGCTGCTGCTGATGATTCATGTGTGTCCCTTGACTTGGCATCGTCTCCAACGGCGGGCCTGCCGGGCGAGAGGACGAGCCAGGCGAAAAGAGCAAGGAGGACGAGTACGACGTGCAATGGACGAGGGGCAGGAAGCAAGAACATAGGGAACAAAGAAGATAATAACCAACGCGACAGCTAAGGCGTACTAGATGGGGAAGGAGGACGACCAGCAAAGACGATAGTACCTGCACTGGCGAATTTGGGAAGGCCAGCGACACACAAAATACAACACGAACGTGTGGAGGGGCAAAATTGCAAAGGGAGGACCAGGGGGACGAGCATGCGAGTGTAGGGATGGTAGTGGGAATGGCCAAACAGAAGGATGAGAGTGCGAGAATGGGGTATGACCCATCTGAAAGAAGGAGGAAGCGGGATAATGATGCAGATCAAGAACGGAATATCTGATGACTTCCATGGAAGAACAAATTGGTAAACAAAACATGTCAGCGGTCAGCGCGGATTTCTCGGTGCGGCGCTCGAGTTGCGCTTGAAGCCACGCTGATGGCACCGCGCCAGGAGCGGCGCTGGAGGCACCACCGAGGGAGGCCAACGCAGATCCGAGAAATCCATGCGGAACTCAAACAATTCATTTTCAGTCTATTGGCTCTGCTTCGGACCGGTGACGGTGACAAAATCCTTCCAATCTGGAAACCTGATCTGATCAGGCGATCGAATCGAGAAGTCTGATCTAATCGGGCTGCATCGGCACGAAGTCCGAATCGAATGGGTTCGCCAGGATGCACAAGAACTCCATGCTGCATCGGATCGTGGGCATATCGACTCGAAACGGACCGGGCAGGCCCGGATCGGTAACACGTCAGATCGATCAGATCGTAATGGTCCCTGCGATGGTTGTGATGTTGATATGGTGAAAATGAAGGAATGATCTGGGTCTGCGAACAGACCCACCCACAGGTAGTCCTTTCTCGCCTTGACAGGCCCCGCAAGTAGCCAGGGGCGGTCCCGACACCGCAACCCAAGGGAGCAAAAGATCGATCGATCAACTAGTTCTGGCCGCTATGATGGTGGCCGACTGTCTTACAATTATGATGGTGATAAAGGTGATGATGAGGACGGCGGCGAAGAACAGAGAGGCGGACAGCGCTCTCACACCCCACTCCGCGGCGAAAGCACGCGCGAAGGTCCCGGCGCGGCCGCCGCGGCGCGCCCCGGGTGGGGCGCGGGTCCGGCGCTCACGGCCACAGCATCGCTGCCTGGCCAGAAAAAAAATGTCTCCAGAAGAACGTTCGAGCCTCAGATCCAGGCGCTGCACGTTGTCCACGCTGGGCGTGCTCGTTCAAGTTCTGGCCCCGGGATCACCATGGATCGATCCTGCTTGAAGGTTGCCGCAGAAAGATTGGGTTTCCAGGGCTCTGGTCGTGATGTCGACGATGACGCAGTTGTTTCGCATCGTCGGATCTTGGGGAATCGGTGGCGCGCCCAAGGGAGAAGGCTGAGCTGGCGGGTCTTCTCCTGCCTTCTGACAATTCTCCTACGCTTCCCCGAAGCCACATAAGCCTTCTCAGGAGGCCAGAAAGCTTCCGGGAAGACCCGCCGGGAAACATTCGGAGCTCCGCGTGGAATTTTTTTTGACCGGCGCTGGACACCTCTCCCTGGTGCGCGGAGCGCCCTAGGGGCTGCGCCGCAGGCGCCGCGGGGGCCGAGCAGCGATCTCAGAAATTCGCGCTGACATCCGCAAATAGTTGTTCATGTCGTGTTTGCCACCTTCGACTTGCACTCACTCTTACGATGTTGCATATGGCTGTTCTACCTCATCCTTGGCATAAGGCAGGACGTAGCACAGGCGGCCGCTGGTGTGATCCAAGTGCTTCCTGGCATGAGCATGACGGCCAGCGTCGAGCTCTTACAAGGTGTCTCCATTAATACAAGTTGTGCAATATATGTGGAGCAATCTACGTGGCGCAATGAATCACCAACGCTGGCAATGAATTGTCAACGCCACTGCTCGCGAAATCATCCAACCTACAAGCCCGCAGCTGGGATTGCAAAACCCATGCGGCGGCGATTGCGATGCGTGCTTGGTTTTGGCTGGGGCATCTCTGCGGCCGCGCTGGCCCGCGCACGCTCGTGCGCGCAGCGGCCAGCTAGCTTGGCGCGGCCGACGCGGCCGCGGTGGCGCTGACCGCTGGGCACATTCCGGCGGGCACTCCAGTGCGAGTCGGCGACTTGGGCGGGCGCGGTATCATGACAATGTCGACAACGGTAGACACGATGATGATATGATGCTAGTAGCGGTGCTGCTGACGATGATGAGAACGACGACGGCACGGCCAGTGACGGCGCCGATGCTGATCACGCCGACGACGATGACGGCGTCATCGCGTCGGTGACGGAGGTTTTGGAAGGAGTTCGACATGCGCGCGCGGCCGACGCGCGACGGCCCGCATAGTATTATTTGACACGGGTCGTGCCCCCCAGCACGCGCGCAAAGGCGTTCTAATGATTTCGACATGCTTCGCCAGAGGCCCGTTCGGCTGAATGTAATGAAGATGTTGGGACTGCATGGTTTTCTCAGAATTCGCAAGGGCACGAGCGCAGGTTCTGTTGTAAACTGTCGTTGCGAAACTATGTGTGTTTATACGTTTCGGGGCACTGGAGTTTGAAATCTTGACGAAGATCAAGATGCTTGAAGGAATCCCGCATGCGCGCGCGTCGACGCGCGCGCGTGCACTTCGTCGCGCGCGCGTGCACTTCGTCTCATTTGTTGCATGGGGCTCTTGCGACAGAACGCGCGCAAGGGCGTTCGAACGATTTAGGCACGCGCGCGCGAAAAGCCCGTTTGGCATACGTTTCTGAGCATGTTGAACAGCCTGTTGTTGTCTTAAGAATTCGCCAGAGCGCGGTCGCCAGCTTTTTTTGAAAACCCTCGTTGCGAAACAATATTTTGATCTCCGCTCAGTGCTTGCACTGAACGGGTCCTAGCGGAGATTTCCCAATCAGCGCTTGCACTGAAGGGGTCCTGCCAGATATTGCAGGATTTTAGAAAGTGTTATATCAGATCGGTCATTGTGAATGGGCAGTGGTGCGTGGAAGGGAAGTTTGTTTCTAACTATGAACTCTCATGCGCGTGCGAGGGTTGCGGCGGACTTGGCACGTTGCTGCATCGACACTTTGAACGCTCACTTTCTGGGAATTTGCCCTGTTCGGACGCGTTGGGCACCTTGTTTTCAAGCCCAAGATCGGGCTCAGGTGCGATGTTCCCTGGAGCGGGACCTGTGGCCCCACAAGAGGACTGACTGGAAGCCCCCTGTCCTGGACACGGCGGTTTGGCGTCAGCACTCGGGGCTCGGGATCCTCGCTGCCAGGGAGGCCTTTCTGGACGGCTCCGCGTTTGAAGCCAAGGGAGCTGAAGAGTACACGACCAGAGGCAGGGCCATCGTCACCCTTGAACCTCTCGAGCCCCTTGGAGTGCAGGACGAAGTGTATTGCACATGCTCGGCACAGCTTTTGACATCGATGGTGGTGAGCTCGCTACACTTCGCGGTCACGCCTCTTGGGGAGGCGGGCTTTAGCATGCGCGAGTGCAAGGCGCAATGTACGCTCGCGCATGTTCAGCAACTCGGCATGAGCAGGAACGGCAGGTTAGGCAACTGTCATGCTGACATCTGGGCCAAATGTGGCTAAGTCTGCACACGGCCGGTCTTGTTGCGCACAGGCTTCCGGTCGCCAGCGCGCATGTAAACGCGAGTGGCACGGTGCATGTGAGAAAGTGAAATCGTTTTGCGAGCACCCACCCTCAGCTGCGGGTCGTCGATCCTCAGCTCAGGCACGTGCTCGTCGGTCCTGTGACTCGCCGGTGGTGTTCCTGTTGCCGCCTTGTGGCCCCTGCCACGCCGATCTGCCAAGGTGCGATTGAGAGTCGCGCGGTGGATGCCAATCGTTGGCTTCAGGAGCAGGGCGAAGTGCATCACAGGCTTGTGAGATTCGAGGTCGAGGAGGCCCTTCGAAAGGCCCAGCACCCTGGATTCGCCTGCTTGAAAAGCGGGGCCAACAGTGCCGGGCAGTTGAAAGGTTTTCTCATCCCCTGCAAGGCCTCAGGAACCCATGGCAGGAAGGCGATCGCAAGGATGGCCCAGGACTTCCTTCCTGGGGGTGGAAGATCCCGCCAGGCAAATGTTCCTTGAAGGTCTTGCTGCTGTGGACTGTGCGGCCCTCAGCCGTGAGGCCCATGGCATCTGAAAGGAATATTGACTGTACCTCAGACGTGTTCTGGATATGTACATGTCCACAAGACGTGGCTGGCAGCGACGAGGTACTCCAACCCCGTGGAGTAGAGAAGCGCGGCGAGAAGTTCGAGGAAGGGGAGAACCCTCCTCCACCTCCTCACTCCTCGTCTCACCCTCCATCCCCCCATCCGCCCTCGTCATCCTGTTGCTCCTCCTCATCCTCATCCGCCACCTTCTCCTCCTCGATGAAGTCAGAAGAACGAGGGCCTTGTCGCGCGGGCCCCGCTGGCTACGAGGCGGCGGAGGCATCGCCCTTCGAAGGCCGAGGCCTGCGCGGAGGGCGATGCGTCTAGGCCGCCCTGCCGGCCCAATCACGAGTCCGGGAAGGCGTCGCCCTTAAAGTACGGGGCCTCGAGTCACGCCGTGCGCCGAGGCAGAGAGTGTCGAGCCAAGGCTGGGGGCAAGGGGCCGACATGGTGAGGAGAGGGGGGGGGGCGGCAGGAGGCAGGAGTGAGTGGAAGGGAGAGGTGCAGATAGCGGGGGGGGCAAGGGTGGCGGGAGATGGAGGAGCGAGGGGTGCAGGCAAGCACACCAGCATCAAGGCCTGGAGTCCCTGGTGCAGAGCTGCGGCCTCATGGAAAAACGAATTAAGCCTCGCGAAAGAATAGATGAGGGGAGGGGGAGGAGGAACAGCAGGGGAATGAGGAGCGGAGGGGCAAGGAAGAGGACATGGAGAAGGAAACGGGTAGGAAGGATAATCGGGAGGGGGGCCGAGGGGGAAGAGGAGCAGGTGGGATAGCTCCTAGTGGTAAGGGGGAAGGGCAATGATGAGAGCCAGGACGGGGAAGATGAACCAACAACGGATAGGCGGATGGGTAGAAACGGAAAACATGGTATGGGGAAGGATGAATATAGCATGAGGAGGCGGAAGAGTAAGAGGAGGATGGAAGGAAAACAATTAGGAAGATCAGGAAGAAGGGACAGGAAGGGGAAGCATGCGATGACATGGGGGAGACAGTTCCGCTTTGAAATTCGGATGTGGATGGGGACCATCGTGGAGAATCAAGGGGTGAAGGCGGAAGAATGTCAGCCCGTTTCTCTCATCCTCCCTGAGCCCTCACCGCGTTCCTTGCACGCCTCTGGGCCAAACTCCTGAACTAACTCAACCTCTCCTCCTCGTTATCCGTCTCCGTCTCGTCTGAACTCGCTCCTCGTCCTCTCCCTCTCCTCCTCGTGCTCCCCCTCCATCCCAAAGTTGCGTGCTCTTCCTCCTCCGATCCGCCTCCTCCTCCTCCGGCCCTCCTGCTCCACAAATGGGGGGCGATGATATTGGCGCATGACCATCGGCCTTCTAGGGGCTTTATTGTTGCTAGAGTCTGACGCGAGGTTTGGAAGCCACTGGTATTTATCAAGTATCTCGCGCGCCCACCGCTGTAGAATGTATGCCAGCTCTAGTCAGTGGCAACTCCTTCTTAACAGAGGGATGGGAGCATGAGCCTCACCTGATGTAATCTTCAATTGCTAAGGTATCACATCGAGTGCTCTGGCATGACATTCCCGCTGTTGTGCAACAGGCCGCGCCCGACAGACAGCGCGAGGGCTTGCCAGTCCAACATTCAGTGCTCGTCGCGTGGGTGCGCTCCAGCGCAGCACGAGGATTCGCCTTACGCGACGACACGGCACCTCCTAGAAGCTTGGATTTGCGGGAGGGGGGCGTGAGGGGTCCGATTTGTAAGACTGAGCAGATTTGCCCTTCTGTTCGCGGGAACATCTTGTATGCTGTGCCATGGCATGTTCACGCCCAGTCATGGGCCCTTCTCTTCATCCAATGTCGCGCGCCCTCATTACTACTTCATTACTCCTGCAATCGTGCCTGTCGGTCATGTGCTTATTGTGGTGTGCGCTCGTTCTCTGTGATTTTACACGCGCATTTCATACGCCATGCACTCGGTGGTTCAATCTCGGTCTAACGGAAGATGGGGGGCGGAGGACGACGACGACCGAAACCCGCTGAGAAGTATACCGTGGACCCCTACTGAAGTCTGCACTGGTCGGTCCTCCGTCCTGGATCGATTTCTGAAGTTCCCAGGGCCAGAATCGGACCCCCAGGGGCAGAAAATGTCGAAACGCCGATTCGAACCCCGACGCTCGACGACGACGAAGACGACGACGGCGGAGGCGACGACGACGACGGCGTGCCGAGGCCGGGGGCCTGGAACGCCCCTGCGCGCTGCATGCGCTGGTGCAGGTGAACCTTGCGCGCCAGGGGAGCCCTCCTCCACCCCCTCCCTCCTCCCCCTTACGCCTTACGATCTGGAGCTGTTGCTTGACGTGTCGCGGAGGCGGCCCCACGCTACGCCTTGCAAGCGGATAGAGCGCCGCTCCGCTCCGCAGGGCGGAAGCCGGCAACAGTTCTGGACGTTGACGCTTCGGAATGGGAGCGTGAGTAGCGTGTCGCGTCGAAGCGTGGTGGGCCAGAACCAACGAAACGATGCGCTAAGCCTCCCCCCCCCTTCGCTGCCTCCTGATACAGGTAAGTGACATGGGGGAGCCTTCTCCAGCATGCCTGTCGATGTGGCTGCGTGAGGGTAAGCCTTCTCCAGTCTGCCTCCTGACATGGCTGCGTGGTCGTCAGCCGTCCCCATTCCCTCGGTATGGCTGCACAGGTGGGCGGGGCTTCCCCAGCCTGCGTCTTGAAGTGTTCGCGTAGTGGGGGAGGCCTTCACCACTCAACCTATTGATGTGGCTGTTCGCGGGTGAGCCTTCCCGTCTGCCTCTTGGTCTGGCTGCGTATGGGTGAGAATTCCCCGGTCTGCCTCCTGGTATGGCGAGGAGAGGGGAGGAGCCTTCACCAATCTATACTCTATGTGTTGTGGGGTCGCGGCGAGTTCGACTTCAGCCCAATGCTACTACCGTTGGCGTGTGTCGTGTTGCCTCGAGGCTCGCGCTCCTCATTATGCTACTGCAGCCAATGCAACCCTTCCGCCGACCATCTTTCCCGTTGTGTTCAGGGATGCATCTTGCACGACGCAGGGATCTCAAGGGCATCGCCTGGCGGCAAGGCTGATTGTCGTGCACTTCTTCCAAAGATGCCCACACACACACGAGGTACAGACTTCGAGGACGCAGCACAAGAGCAATGTTGGTGGTCCTGCGTGCAACCACGCTCCCATCCGAGACACGGACATCCATGACTCCGGGACCCAGTTCAGCGGCAATGCTGGCGATCCTGTATACTCAGATGGGATCGTATATCTTACCACTTAGGTTGATGCTGAGACTCCCTCATCCCACAGTGGCCTTGTCCGAACACTGTCTACACAAGGCCAACCACCCCCAGAGGCTGCGCAATCCGTAAGTATCCCCCATTCTCGAAGTCCTCCTCCCCCTCGCCAGATCGCCTGGGGACCAAGCGTGAACGACCTGGATCGGCCTCTGGACTGTGCGCGATCGAGCGCGAACCACCCTGATTGACTTCTAGCCTATGCGCGAACGAGCCAGATCGCCCTTGACATCCTCGACCTCCTCGTCCTTCTCATCCTCCTCCCCCTCCTCGATGGATTGGACCAGTTTGTGGGAAACTCCTGTGCGAGAAGCGGAGGGACACTCGCTTGACTGGGATGTTGCGCACGATCGCCACGTGAAGGGTGCCCAGATCTTCCAGGGGCAAGACAGAGCTTAGATGGGACTGCTTCCATCCGCGGTGGGTAGATCAGCTCCCCTCGATCCTCCTTTCGACCCTCACCCTCCTCCTTCCATTTTGGAAAGGAAAGCCCGAGCGCACGGATGTGTGGGTGACATTGATTACTCCCATCGCAAAAATCACGGGATGAGTGCGGCCGATTGGATTGCGCCCATTCTTTGCCCGAGTCTGGTCTCGCCTCAGGCATCGAGGAGTGGTCAAGTGGGAAATCACTGTCTCGGAATCGCTATGTTGGAGTTGTTCCGCGGAGACGTCTTGCGACAAGTCCGCCTGGCTTCATAATGTTTTGGCCAGTGTTGCTCCTGACAATAATTCCCAACCATTCTGTCTTTCCCCCTTCCATTTCTTCTCATCACTGCCTCGGCGGCCCTCCGCCGGCAAGTCCCAATTTCCGAACACCCCTCACACGTTTCATGGCCCCAGAGGGAGTTTCACCGAAAGCCCCAGTGGCTGCGCTCGCATGGCACCACCGCACCCATCCCGACACACCCATCACACGCTTCATGGCCCCATGAATGGGGCTCCACCAAGAGCTCCAGTGAGCGCTCGCATGGCACCACCGCGCACATTTCCGCACACCCATCACACGCTTCGTGGCCCCATGGGGAGCTCCACCGAAGGCCCGGATGGCTGCGCTCACATGGCACCACCGCACCCATTTCGGCACACCCTCACACGTTTCGTGGCTCCACAGGGGGCTCCAAAGAGGGCCCAGCGTCTGCGCTCGCATAGCACCGCCGCGCCGATTGCAGCACACCCCCATCACACGATTCGTGGCCCCATTGAGAGCTCCACCGAATGCCCCAACGGCTGCGCTCACCCACGCGTTTCGTTTCCCTAGAGGGGGCTCCACAGAAGGCCCTGGTGACTGCGCACGCACGGCTCCACCGCACCCATTCCCGCACACTCTCAAATGTGTCGTAGCCCCAAGGGCCGCTGGCAAGGCACCACCGCACGGATTTCGGCACACCCCTCACACGATTCGTGGCTCCAGAAATGGGGCTCCACCGAAAGCTGCAGTGAGCGCTTGCATGGTACCACCACACCTCGGCATACCCCTCACACGTTTCGTGGCCTCATAAGTTAAGCTCCACTGAAAGCTCCAATGAGCGCTCGCATGGCACAACCGCGCACATTTCCGCACACCCATCACACGTTTGGTGGCCCCATGAGGGCGCTCCGCCGAAAGCCCCAGTGGCTGCGCTCGTGTGGCACCACCGTACCCATTTCTGCAAACCCCTCGCAAATCTCATTTCCACATCGGGAGCTCCACCTGAAGATCCACTGGGTGCGCTTGCATGGCACCACCGAGGACATTTCGGAACACCCATCACACGCTTCGTGGCCCCATGGGGAGCTCCCCGAAGACCCGGGCGGCTGCGCCCGCATGGCACCACCGCGCACATTTCGGAACACCCATCACAGGCTGCGTGGCCCCATGGGGAGCTCCACCGAATGCCCCAGTGGCTGCGCTCACCCACACGTTTCGATTCCCCAGGGGGGGCTCCACAAGAAGCTCCGGTGACTGCGCTCGCATGGCGCCACCACACCCATTCCGGCACACCCTCACACGTTTCGTAGCCCCATGAAACGGCTCCACCGAGGGCCCGCTCGCAAGGCACCACCGCACCGATTTCGGCACACCTCTCTCACGTTTTGTGGCCCCATGAATGGGGCTCCCCCGAAAAATCCAGTCAGCGCTCGCATTGTACCACCGCACCGGCTTCGGCACACCACTCACACGTGTTGTGGTCGCATGAATGAGGCTCTACCGAAAGCTCCAGTGAGCGCTCGCATGGCACCACCGCCCACATTGCGGCACCCCCATTACACGTTTCGTGACCTCATGATGAGGTTCCGCCGAAAGCCGCAATGGCTGCGCTCGTATGGCACCACCGCGCGCATGTCCTCACACCCCGCGCACATCTCGTTTCTCAATCGGGAGCCCCACCTGATGCTCCAGTGGGTGCCCTCGCATTGCACCACCGCGCACATTTCGGAACACCCACACGCGTTTCGTAACCGCAGAGGGGGGCCCCACCGAAGGCCCTTGTGGCTGCGCGCGCATAACACCACCGCGCCCATTTAGGAACATGGCTCGCACACCTCGTTGCCCAGTAGGGAGTTCCATAGATGGACCCACTGGCTGCGCTCGCATGACCACCGCCGCAGCCACGTCGGCACACCCCTCGCGCGTTTCGTGGCGCCAAAGGGAGCCCCACCGACAGCGGCACCCAACACATGGTAGGGACAGCTGCATATGGTTGGGACCCTCGCCAGTAGACTTGTGTCAGTGCAAATGCTTCCATATACTGGAGGAGATGGTATGGTCTCTCTCACACAAATAGCTTCTCCGCGCTGCTAGAGACACGGGGTCCCCAATGAAACTCCTAAAGCTGGTTTGCGCTTTGTGCAGAGGGCCTGGGCGGACATCATACCAGAATTCCTTGTCTGATAATATTCTCGCGAACGGAGCCATCACAGCGAGCTGCTCATGTGCGACGGGGCTGGCTAAGCTGATGGCGGTCTCGGTATCACGACATGTGGGCGCACGATGCAGATCGCTACGTATCAAAAGCTTGGTGGACGATAATCGCTTGCACTCGGTGGGAGGCCCAACGACGGTATCTCGAGAATTGGGATACACATGCAAAGAAATGATCGGCCTCCTGGAGTCCCGTGGGCTTCCGCTATCCTGGGGCACAATGGGCTTCCTCTGCAGTGACGCTCAGACGTTCCATGCGATTGAGGACGAGGCGGCTGACCTCTGGTCGCCAGAAGCCCCTTGCCCAGGCAGGGATGAATACCATCGATACCTCGGAGGTGACGCTTGCGACGGCAGATGCCGCACAATTGGCGCACAGCTCACACGTATTGGAACTACCCTGGCAACGGGTGGGTGACAGACGCTTGGCCCTCAACGGGCTGGGTAAGAACAGATGGGCAGTTCCTAGTACGGGCGTTTTACCCGAGGCCCCATGGGCTGCTCGATTACAGGTGCGCCTAACAATCGATCCAGCAGCTCAGAATGTCCTTCCTCCACGCAAGCTCCAGGTTCGAGCCAGGGGCCTCACTTGGCCTCTCGCTATTGTGTGCTGAGAACGGTTGGGTGAACGACCCCATAGTCTTCGCCACTTCGGATACGGTCAATACGCATCTGGTCATTCTCTCGTCGGGGGCGATCACGGCAGCAATAGTTTCCTCGCGGATGGTCGGAGTGCTTCCACTGTTAGATGATCTACAAGCTTGGCTGAACTGCAAGGATCCACTTGCAGCGTTGATGCTCAGGCTGTGCCGATTTTGTTGGAAACTAGTGGGCCCAGTCACGATTGTAGAACACGAAGGCACGACCTGGGGCCAGCTGGATGGCGCACGTCGTCAAGCAAGGAATCTGCAAGCGAATCGATCGTCACGCTTTGACGCTGATGCAGGGTGCCAACGCGACCAGAACGGGCCCGGTGGCGTGGAAAACGATCTGCGAATGCGTGCATGTCAAGAAACTCGCACCACATGAAGAGGTTGCTACGAGGTGTGTTAACGGGTGGGCAACTTGGTCTCATCTCAGGTACAGGTGGCTCGGGCGCTTGCAGGCGAGACCCATCTATGCTTACGCTGCGGCTGGCAAGTGATTCCATCGTTTCCATGTATGCGACGCGTTCGCAGCGCAGCACCAGATCAGGCTACCAGCTGAAGTCAGGAGAGCAAACAACCGTTTGTGTGCTGAACCCGAAGACCGACAACACCGGTTTGCTCGCGGCTCCTCCCTCATTCAGGCCAAGCCTTCCACGGGTCGGGCAGGACCAACACTTTGACCTCATTGACGTGGACAAACGGGGAGTTACGTGTGTCCGATGGCTACGCCGTGTACCGCATGCGGCCAGGGCCATCGGCTATGTCTGTGGATGTGAGACGTTGCAGGCATTACGTTTGCGTCTACACACCCTCGAACCTGGGGGAGATGAGGGTGACGCTGATTCACGGTCGGTGTCGACCCAACCACCGCGCTGGGACCGCTGGTGTTTGCTTCTGGTGAGCTTGACGCGATCGCGTGGATGTTGCAATGCACTCGTTGGCACCAGGGCCAAGGTTCACGTCTTGTCCAGATGGGCTCGGCGCTTCTGCGCTCCAGCTTTCCAGGCCCGGCGTTTGTCTCAGTGCAGGGGTGAGAGACCAACTGAGGACATACACCCTCTCAATGCGGGGGTGAGAGACCCACTGAGAGACCCTGGGCTGTGGATCGTGTCCCAGGCTTGCGCTGCCCCGGTCTGCCCTGTAGATGTTTTCCTGCGGCGTCATCGGCAACAAATTCGCGATGCGCAAATCGACGTCAACATGCTCGTCTACAGGCGTGCATGCCTCTCGAACTTCCCGGTGCAATGAGGGATCAGCTTTTCATAATTACAGCTGACCTTTTGTTATAGTCCCTCGCATAGCTGGGCCTTTCAGCTGTCCGCTCGTCATTTTGTCTCGGGGCGTGGACAATCGCTGACTCCTTAATCTTTGCGGCGAGGCTGGGGAACCTTTCATAAGGTGCGCTCCTGTGAAGTAGAGGCCACCTTGGCTCCAACCGGACTTGTGAACAAAACCACAAAAGTAGAAAATGACTGCACAAGTTTACGCTTGCGAACTACACCTCCCATGTAGCATCATCGTGCTGGTAGGGGACACTTCGTCCCACCTGGCCTGCCCTGTGTAGTTTCGCACTCCAGGTGATCAGTGCGCTCTGAAGGCGACAATAGCGTCCGCCCGAAGCAGGGTACCATTTCCCTCTGGGATTCGCTGCGCCTCTTCGGGCCCAAGGGACAGGCAGCCCCTGTTCATTTTCATGTTACGCGTTCGTAGACGGCAGTGCTATTCCGGTCCATATTCCCAAGTTGCGTTCGGCAGGTTGGGCCGTGGCAGGTAAAAATCAGACAGGCAGCGCGCGTCCAGTGATCACGACGCTGTTCCTCGCAGCGAGGGGCCAAGCCAGGTCGCTCGAGACGGGAAAGACTACGCACCCATGATGGCCAGAAAGGATTGACTAGTTTCGTTGCAAGTAAAATCCGATTGCAGGGGATCAGTGGGTGCCTGCAGTAGAATCAAGGCGGCATGAGGCGGCTTGTGGACCAAACAACGTCAGAGCCCACATGTGGAAGCGCACGGATATGAATGATGATCTCTGCCGAGCGAATGTGACTGATGTGAAAGCTCTTACCAGCATGGCCGACTTCAGGGAAGGGCTCATCAACGACTTCGGCCGATCGTGTAATGCAGAGGTGGGTGAGTTGGCCAAGACAGGGCAAAGATCCACGCAACCAGTGACGAGCAGCTGGGGCTCGTGCGTGGTGCCATGCGGTTCCACCGAATGCTACTCACTTGCACCGCCCAGCTCGAGGTGTGGTTCTACGGGCAGGACTAGATCCTTCCTCGACTGCGCTTTCCCTGAGCAAGATGAGAGCATGCCTATCTCGCCCCAGCACGGTGCAGCTGCTCGTGAGCAGGAGATGCGTTGCCATGGCTTGTTCAGAAGCATGCGTTGCTAGAGTACCCAGTGGACGGCGAGGGGCACTCGCTCATCTTTTGCACCAGCTGCTGTGCGTACGCCGACACGGGCACCCAAACGCATCGAGGGCTTGATCGTATATGCTGCGGCAGAAAAGGCGGCAGCGGGCAAACCTCGGATAATCCCCCCGCCACTCCGCGAACCTAAGGCACCCGCAAACCTCAAATACGCAGATGCGACTGCCACATTATCGGTGGCGCTCGGAAGGTGTCCGTGCTACCTGATGCAGATCCAAAGGATGGGCCAACCCGTTGTATGGAGCGGCGGAACGAGGGAGGATAAGGATCGAACCCCAGCGATACCTCGGTACGGCCGACATCCTCAAGGATCACGGCCTCCTGTACCCTGAAGCTTTTGAATTGGGAACTCCACATGGATCAGTGAGCGATGCTGAGGCAGATGACGGCATGGCCTGAACACCTAAGCCTGACTGGTGCGCCAAGCCCTGGTGTCTTCGAGGCATGCAGGTTCAAAGTCGTTATTTGGGCATCGTCCCCGCATGCGGCCAGGTGAGTCCAGTGTGGCGCGTTCCCCTTGCCCTCGGGCAGGCCTGAAAAGCCCGCTGGCCTGTGGGCGTTGCTGTAGGGGCAGTGTGGTGGCCTTCTGCCCGATTCATGCAACTTGGTTTCGGCAATTTCAACGGATGGTAGGAAGCACACGGCGAGTTGTTGCCAGTGTAGCTCGACTACTTCCAAGCTTAGGTGGGTGCACAAGGCGGCGTGGTGCCAGAGGCTCTCTCACTATCTCCATATGATGCCGACAGTTGGAAAGCCCCGATGGGAGGTGTCAGGCGCCTCAGCGTATTCCCAGCGTTTTGTGGGTCGCACCACGCGGCGCGTTGTTGTCTGGCATGCTACACGATTTATAACCGTAAGAGGTTGCACACCAGTGAGAAGGTGCCTAAAGTGAGCCCACTACTTCCATACCAGCATGACGGTTGGATGTTGATTGATCAGACTCGCAACTTTCAACTCGTTTCTCATTTTCCCCCGCTCCGAGTCGCTGCGCCTTGGCGTAGCGCTGGGAATGCTGTGGGACCCTTTCCCCGAGGTGGCCTACCTGATGGTGGTGAGCACGGGCCCAGCACAGGCCCCGTGCTCCCGTGCGCGGCCGAGGCGGCCGCTTCCCCCTGCGTTCACAGGCCCTTTCCCCCTGGGCATGGCCCCTGTAGAGCAGACGGCTGCGGGCCACGCCCTCCAAGGTCTGGGCCCTGGGGGCAAGGGGTCTGCTGACTCTCGGTTTTTGCCCGCTCGCTCGCTCCCTTCTCGAGGAGGAGGGGCCTGCAGCGCCCTCAGCAGGAACTGCGCGCACTCCTCCTCCTCACCCCTCCTCCGCGTCGGATCCCTCCCTCCTACTCCTCCTCGTGCCCTCCTTGCCGCACCCTCCTCCTCGTCGTGCCCTACCTCCGCCCTCCTGCTCCCTCCTCGTTGTCGTGTCCCTCCTTCTCATCTTCCCTGGGACCGTGTCGTCGTCGTCGTCGTTCTCCTCATTCCTCCTCCTCCTCCGCTTCCTCCTCCTTCTCCACCCCCTCCTATTGACCCCTGGCCAGGCCGTTGCGCCGCTGTGGGGTATTCCTTCCGTCGATAGGGGAGCCGGCTAATTTCCTGCTGCGCCGACGCACGGATGTACCTGTCGGCCCGCCTCATTTCTTGCCTTGGCTCCGGCTTTAGGCTCATCCTCCTCATTCCATATAGTTCCCTTCCCATGTCTTCCCCTTGTCCTTGTGTTCCCTTACTCTTGTGTGCTGCGTGCACCCCCTCCCTCTTCCTGCATGGCTTCCACTCTCTGTCCCCCCCTCGTCCCTCCGCCTGTCGGCCCGGTCTGTCCTCTCAGGTCGGCCTCCCCCAGCTCTTCCCCCCCTCCTCTCCTGGGCTCCTGGCTTCCCCGCTCCTTCTTTTTCCTTGCTTGGCCCAGTGTTCTTTCTCGGCCCGCCACTTGGTCCGAACAAGAATCGGCCCGCCCTTTTGCTGCGGCTGGGGCTGCTTGGCCGGCGAATCGCCCGGTAGCAACTTGACTGTCGGGGTGTAGCGCGCACCGATCCGTCAGACCTCAAGCCCCCCTGGCCAGGTCCTGGCGGGGAAAATGCCACTCCGTCGGTTGGAACCCGGATAAGAGACTGTTGGGGAAAGGCCAGGAAGAGCTGGAGTAACGAAAACAGTAAGGACGAGGAGGGAGGTCCACAGGAGGGAACTGGAGAAGCAGGACAAGGAGGATGAGGAAGGGAGGAGTGAGAAAGGTAAGGGGGAAGAGGAGCGATGAGGATACTCGGAGCAAACGAAACAGAGACGATCAGCAGGAGACTCACGATGAACGAGGTGGACAGGTTCGAGTCAACACGAAGAGACAAACAGGGAAGATGCGTCGAGCAACGATCTCGATCACATCAGGGAGATCTGGAGATCCAGCCCGACCCTGGTTCAAATGAATGGCGATTTGCGTGGCCGTGTAGAAGCACGTAGTTGTAGTAGTAGCAGCAGGAGTTGCAGTGGCAATATTAAGGGATACAAGCATCAGTCTGACTTTGAGTGTAAGTAGGAGTCCGTGGGAATTCAAGTAGGAGTGCAAGCTTGCTTGTCTGATTGATTTTGTCTGCTCTAGAAGGGAGTTCTTTGCCGAAACGCGCATCGTCGCATCGCCTCTGTGATTACCCCCTTTACGACGAGGAGGGATTGCAGAATACGAATATCTGCCAGCGTCCACTCCAGACAAGAGTTCGCAGTTGCGGCACTGACGGGCACGCACGCTTTAGAGAATTATAAGCAACATCATAAGCATAAACCTTCGAAGGTCCGCGCAGACCCCCGAAATCAGATATCTACGATGTTCTCCGACTCCTCATTCGAGACTTGGCGAGGAGGAGGACGACAACGACGACAAAGCTGACGTGCTCACCCCTCCTTCCCGCGAGCAGACCGCGCAAAGGCTGACGATCACAAGCCCGGAGTCCACGCCCTGGATGACCGAGCCCCTGCACTCCTCCCCAGCCTCCTTCGGGGACGCTCGGGGCCCCAGGGAAGGGTGCAGGGAGAGCAGGGAGGAATCTGAACCACAATCGGCATGAGAACGAGGTGTCCAAACGGGTATCTTAGAGTGCTCAGGTCGCACAGATGGTTGCAGATCAGCCAAACCGGAGGCCTTCCAGAGAGGAGGCGCGCGGGGGATCTGTGGCGCACACGGCCGCCACAGCACCCGAGAGGGCAAAAGGGGGCCGGCGGCGCGCCTAGAGGGGGGGATGGGGGCAGAGGCAGCGGGCCGAAGTCATTGCGAGGAGCTCCCTGAGCCTCCTCGGAGGGATTCTCGGGCGGCCGGGGGGGGGTTCTGAGAGGCCCCGCCGCCTTCTGAGAATGCCTGGCCCCTCTCACTTTCCCCCCCATCGGCGCCCCGTCGAGGGAAGGAGGAGAGGAGGTCGTCGTTCAAGATGCGGCGTGCCGGCGTGCGGGCGGACTCAGGGCGCGAACACCGCAAACCCAGCCCGCAGCAGCGAGGGCTCCGAAGCGTGAGCTTCAACGGCCTCGCTGGTCGGTCGCAGCCCCCCGTTCGACGCCGCGCGGGCCCGCGCGGGCAGAGAAGGCCGTGGCCCCACAACAGCAGAAGGCACCATGTTTTGGAACCGCGGCGCATCCAAAAGGCGGGGGCGTCCAAGAGGGAGGCGCAAATTATGGCTCGAGGCACGTGCGCGGACGATGGGGGGGGGGCAAGGGGACGTGTTGAAAGAAAAAAAGAACAAACATAGGGAGCAATGAAAGCTTGGGGAGATACCATGGCCCTCGCCAGGATATCACCCCCTGGCTACCACTTCCCTTTTGGACTAAAAATCGCCCATCTGGGGCCCGACTAGATGGGGCCAGAGGGTCTCACCGCATCGCCGATGCATCGGCGACGTCGGCGTGGAGAAACTCGAGTTCCACATCTAGCCGCATCGCCGATGCATCGGCGAGTACCGCGATCCTCCGACCTTATCAACTCGGACCTAGTTGGAAAGCCTTGATGGACGCCCCCGAGCAATCCACGGTATCCCGAGGCCGTGGTTCCTCTGAGGGTGTACGCGAGGCAGACGGCGGCAACGGACCTGACACGATATTGCGGAGGGAGCGCGGTCCACCGTCGCGGGCCTGGAACACGATTTGGGGAGGTGAAAATCCCCCACCCCACCCCTGGAAATCCGAGGGGGGGGGGCGGCGTCATATTCCCAAGGGGTTCCCCCCCCGAATCTCCCTCCCCCCACAAAACAATGGGGTGGTCCAGAACCCCCGCCCCCCCACATGAAAATCCCCCCGCCCACGCGAAAATTATACGGTGTCCATGGCCCCTCCAGCCCGTAACCATGACGACGACGACGACGACGACGACGACGGCGATAACGCTGACGACGCTTACGACGACGCCAGCGACGGCGACAACGTCAGCGGCAGCGGCGGCGCACCTGTCGCAGGCGCTGTCCGCTAGGCGCAAGCTCTGACTGAATGCTACTAGGGCGCAACCCAGCTCTATTGACTCCTATCAGGGCTCGGTCTAGCTTTAAGCGAATCCAACCAATGCTCGTTCAAGTTCAAACAGGGGCCTTTGAAGGCTCCATCCAACTTTAATTGTATCCTACTGGGGCTGGTTCAAGCTCGAATGGATCCAGCTCCACTTGGGTCCTACGGAGGCTCGGTCCAATTGTAACGAAAGCCTGTCATAAGCGCATGTAGTCTGAATACATTCCACCACTAGTCGGACCCTCAAATTCTTAAATCCAGCTGTAAGAAAATCAACTAAGGGCGAATACATATGTAACTGAATGCCACTGCGGCTGGATCTAGCACGATTGGAATGATCATTCATCCCCAGGCCGAGTGGTTTCCCCTCCTGGTCTACATTATGGCAACACCGAGTGATCAGAATGGATCCTTTTTGGGTCTGCGGCAATTTCGCGGATCCGATTTTGTGCTGCGCGGATCCATTGTCCCGTGTGTGGAAGCTTATGGAACTATGTATGTTCGAGAAGGGGAAAGGGGGGTCTTCCCAGGACGGAGAGGGGAAGGAGGAGGGAGGAGGCACGATGAGGGGGGGGAGGGGAAAATGGACGGGGAGAGGGAAGGGAGAGGAGGAACAATCAGGGAGGAGGGGGGGGGGAGGGAGGAAGAAAAGGGAGGAGAAGGAGGAGGAGGAGGAAGGAGGAGGGATGCGGAAGGAGGAAAGAAGTGGAGGAGGAGGTGGGGTGAGGAGGGAGGAGGTGGGAGGAGGTGGGAGGAGGGAGGACGGGGAGCTAAGGACACACAAGCAACATGTCAAGATCAGCAACACGAGCACCATAGCGGGGCCCGCCACCTCCCTCAAATCCTCCCATAACATGTGGTTGCTCGAGCGTCACAACGGGCCTGGCCATCGCCGATACGAGCGTCTCATGTATCCGCTCACCTGAACGGTACGTCGCTTGTAACATCTGGAGTTCAAGAGAATCGTTCGGCCTACGTAAGTAGGGTTGGGTCCACTTCCCTTCGGATTCTACGCGGGCTTGGTCCAATTCTTGCCGAACTCTGCGTGGGTTGCGCCCAGATTTAACAACATCCTTGCAGAGGTCGGTCGAGTTCACTCAGAAACCTACTAGGTCTCGACCAATCCCTGATGGACTCATAGGGCTCGGACCAGCTATACCATAATCCTAAGGCACATGGGTCCAGTCCTAGCAAAATCCGAGTATGGCTCGATCCAGCTCCAATCGAATCATACTACCGATGGATCCCGCCCTAGTAAGATCCTACCAGGGCAGACTTCAAGTCTGATGGGACGCTACTAGATATCAATCCAACATGAACGCAGCATCTCCGAAGACTTGGACCCAGCTCGGATAACAAGCTACTAGTGATCAGGCCATCTGGAATAGGACACTCCTAGGATTGGGCCCATCCCGTTTACAACCGTATCGGAGCTTGATCCAGAATTGAGCGGGTCCTGCGAGAGCGCGGTCCAGCTTTAAGCGGATCCTGCGAAGGCTCGATCGTCGTCGCCGCCGTCGTCGTGGACGTCCTCGTTGTCATTGTCATCGTCGCCGTCGTTTTGGGTGTGGGGGGGTGGTGAAACACCGACCTCCCCTCCTGCCAGCTGCGGCAGACACCGCTCTCTCATTTTTCGCGACCCCCCGGCTGGGCCACCCTCCTTCTTGGCGGAAAGTGCCTGCGCTGCACCCCGTTGGGCAATTTGAAAGCAGACCCGACACGTGGGCCTTAGGCATCGCGAAGACTTGCAAGACAACGTGTCACGGGACCACCTCGAGCCATGAGTGCTGGAATCATCGCGGCGGTGGGAAGCCACCTCCTTCTCTACCTCCTCCTCCTCCTCCTCCTCCTCTTCCTCCTCCTCCTCCCCCTCCTCCTCCTCCTCCCCCTCCTCCTCCTCCTCCTCTTCCTCCTCCTCCTCCTCCTCTTCCTGCTCTTCCTCCTCCTTCCTTTCCTCCTCCTCCTCCTCACAATATCGTGACGTTGGCGTCCAAACTGCGCTAGACCCCAAAATCGCTGGCCTTGCTGACCAAACAGCGCCTCCGAATCAGAGAACCTCCGCGGCACGGCAACCAGCTCGGTGTAAGCGCGGAATGCAATGTCACGCCGGCGTTCACCGCAAAGAATTATTCCATGGCTTCCTGATGCAACTTGTTCAACCGAACGCGCAATCTTCGGCAGCACGAACCATGCACATGGAACCAACATGTTGATAGTGAAGCGGCTTGAGTCAAACGGCTACGGAACCAAAGAGGGGGACGAGATGGAGGAGGGAAGTGGAGAAGGATGGAAGAATGGAGGAGGGAGGAAGGTGTGATGACAAGGGGAAGGAGGGAGAGGTGGATAAAATATGATAAACGGCAGTGAGGCGGAGAAACCGCAGCAGGAGGACGAGAAGGGGGGAGGCGAATGCGGATGTGGAGGAGAGGGAGGGCAAATTTGAGGAGGGTAAGGTCGATAAAGGATCAGGGGGAGAAGATAAGGATGAGGGTGAGGCACCTCATCAGGGGGATACGTGGACTCGGCTCTTCGTTGCACCCTGTCCTTGAAGCTGCACACCCTGGAGCCGACTGGGTTGATGCCCTCGACGTCCTTTGCCGGACAGGCCCCGGGGCAGAATCAAGAGGAGGAAGGATGGGAGGGAGGGAGGACGAGGAAGAACGAGGAGGCAGGAAACAACTTTGAAGGAAGAGGGGGGGGGATGAGGATTAGCGAGGAGTAAAAGGAAAACGAAGTAGAGGAGAAGGATAGGGATACACATCTGTGTTTGTGTAGAACGATGAGGAATGTTAGCCATCGTGGACCCCAAACAATACGCTCTTGCACCCTATGCGGGGCAATATACGTGGTGCAAAGTATGTGATGCAGCCTATGTAATGCAACATGTAAAGTGCAATCCGCGCGGTGCAACATATGTGGTTCAATCTTCACGATGCAACCAATGGAATACAACACATGCGGTGCAACCTACGTGGTGCAATCTATGTGGTGCAACTGACCAACGCTCAACTTGAAATTGTCCACTCCACTGCTCGCGCAAACATCCCACCCACCCACCCGCAACTTGGTTTGCAAACCCCATGCGGCGACGATTGCGATGAGTGCTTGGCGCTGGTTGGTGCATCTCTGCGGCCGCGCCAGGCCGCGCATGCGCGCGCGCATGCACTTGGGCGCGACCGACGCAGCCGCGGTGGCGCTGTATCATGGCAGCGTCAACAACGGTAAACGCGGTGATGATAGTAGCGATGCTGGCGACGATGCTGACAGCGACGACCACGGCCAATAACGGCGCGGATGCTGATCACGCCGACGACGATGACGGAACCCTCGCGTCGGCGATGCAGGTTTGGGAAAAAGTTCGACATGCTCGCGCGGCCGATGCGCGATTGGCCCGCGTGGTTTTATTTGACACGGATCGTGCCACCCCTGTACGGGCGTGCGCAAGGGCGTGCGAATGATGTCGGTATGCGGCGCCAGAGGCTCGTTCGGCAGAATTCCATGAACATGTTGAGAGACCGATGGTTGGACTAAGAATGCTCAAGAGGGCGCGCGCGCGCTTCTTGGCAAACTGAGGTTGCGAAACCATGCGTTTTCAATAATTATGTTGGGGGGCCCTCTTCCTATGGGGCACGCATTTTATGTGTTTAATCCGAACGGGCCATCCTCGAACCTTCAACTGTCGTCACTTTTGGGCTCCTGAGGCCTGAATATGGGGGGAAATATCCGGCGGGAGCCTCGTCTGTGAACGAATTGCGAGGAAGTCTCCGGGTGGAACCCTCTCACTACGTGACCCGCACTTAACGTGTTTAATCCGAGCGGGTCATCCTCGAACCTGTAACTGTCGCCACTTTTAGGCTCCTGAGGCTACGGGGGAAGTATCAGGCGGGGGCTTCGTCTGTGAGTGAACTGGGTGGCGAAACAAACAGGAGGGCGAGGCAATGGCAACGCGGGAAGCGGGTCAGGGCCCTGCGCCAGGGCGAGGATGAGAATGACGCAGAGAAAACAATATGGGCGTCTCACTAATCGCGACGACGAAAGTGAAGGTAATTTCCACATTAGCCGATCGGATTTTCATATGGGGTTTTTCCGTCGGGGCAATGTGATCCTTGATAAACGAATGTGGGCGCATGCGTTTTTTTTCGTAGGATGGCTGGGGGGGGGCGATGCCAGCCTGGCTGGGATAGTATGAAGTCACAGGTAAGATGGACATTGGGTCAGAATCCTGCGTTTGTCATAGGTTCCCCAAAGGTCTTTACCCAAGGGGGGGGGTGGTAGACCCGATCGCCTTTTTAGACATGACAATTCACGTTGATTGTCTTGAAGCTGTCCTCTCCACTGGCCGCGCAAACATCCCACCCTCCCGCCCGCAACTTGGTCGCAAGACCTCTTGAGACCGTGACGGTAGGTACCAAATGGCACCTGGCAGCGACACCGACGATGACGACGACAGCGACAACGACGACGACGCCGACGACGACTACGACACCGACGACGACTCCGACGACTTCGACGACGACGACGACAACGACGACGACGACGTCACCGACGTCGACGACGACGACGACGCCGACGCCGACGACGACGACGACGACGAGGATTTTTGGCATCCGCGCGCGGCGGCCGCGCGCATGTGCCCCGCGTGTTTTTTTGTTTTGCAAAGGGTTGTGGCCTTGGCGGGCGTGCGACCGGTGTGAAAGGAGGTCGCCGCGCGTGCAAGCGTTGTTTTAGCCATTGTTTTTAGCACTCGGAAAGCGCACGCGGGTATACATGTTGTATATATTGTTATTATGTGTTGGTGTGTTTGTATTCTTTGTTCGAGGAAATATGGTGCGATTCGCAAGATTTCATGAAGCTCGGTCCTAAAATAATTCAACACACAATGCGTTTGTAAGGATTTCGACATGCGCGCGCGGCGGCCGCGCGCATGTGCCCGGCGCGTTTGTTTACAATGGATTGTGGCCTAGTATATACATGTATATGAATAACTGCTCCAGGATTCGGAAAGCGCGCGCGGGTCGAATGCTTGATTTGTTTTGCAGATTTTGTCGAGGATGCATGGTGCGATTCGCGTGGGCTCATGAACCTCGGCCTTGACATTATTGAAACCACAATGCGTTCGGGGGGATTTCGACCTGCGCGCGCGGCGGCCGCGCGCATGCGCAACGCATAGTGATTGTTGTTTCTCCTCGCAAGGAGCTCTGGCCCTGGCAGGCGCGCGACTGCTGTTGGATAAGATCGACGCGCGCGCAAAAGTTGCCGAGGAAGCCCGATTTGACAGGAATGTTGATAAACCATGGGTCCCTGAAGGACTCGGCAAGAGCGCGCGGGCAGATTTTTCAAAATGTGGGTGTGAAGGTCGTATGTTTCAATATGCTGTTTTTAAGCGGGATGTTGACAATGTTGAATACACAGTGTGTTTGGAACCAGTTCGACATGCGCGCGCGGCGACGCGCGCGTGTGCCCCGCATGGTATGTTTGTACGGATTCGCGCAAAAGTGCAATACTATAGCCAAAAATGCCACCGTCTATTCGTTTTGCCAAAGAACCGAGGGGGGACCGATACCGGCCTGGTTGGGATAGTGTGAATTCACAGGTAGGATGGACATTGGGTCAGAATCGCGTGCGTTTTGCATCGCTTCCCAGGGAGTCGATAAGTCAATTTTTTGGTCAGGCCGCCCAGAGCCACGCTCAAGACAACCTCCAACGGTCTCCGGCGGCTCAAGAGGCGTCTCGAACCGCCCCGGACGCCTCCACGACGCTCGAAAACCGCTCCAAGAGATCCCCTCAGCCGGCCCCGGGAAGCAAAACTAGCCCCGTTCCCATCGTAAAACGTATATTTTTACCATATTCGATTTTTTTGCCCTCGTACCGTCCTTTACGACCTCAGACTCTCCTTAGACCGCCCCAAGACAGCCCACGAAGCCCACAAGAGCGTCCCAAGACGGCCCCCGAGGGGCCCAGGACAGTCCAAGAGGCGCCCAGGACGGCCCACACGCGTCCCCGAAGGGCCCCAAGAGGGGCCCAAGACGGGAAACCCAACTGAACCTTCCAGCCCCCCCGCCCCAGGAGGCCCCCAAGAGGCCCCTAAGAGACCCCCAAGAGGCCCAAAGGGGCCCCCAAGACGCCCGCGGCAGGCCCTCAAGGGCCTCCAGAGGCCCCCCAAGAGGCTTCCAAGAGGCCCCCCGAGGTTCCCTGGAAGCCCCCAGGAGACCCCCAAGAGGGCCCCAACGGGCTTCTGAGAGGCTTCCCCCGAAACCTTCATGTACGTCTACAAGACGCCCGCGGCAGGCCCCCAAGGGCCTCCAGAGGCCCCCCAAGATGCTTCCAAGAGGCCCCCCGAGGTTCCCAGGAAGCCCCCAGGAGATGATGGCGATGATGAGGACGACGACAACGATGATGATGGTGATGATGCTGATGATTCTGATGATGAGTATGGTGATGATGAGGATGATGAATGAGGATGATGATGCTGCTGCTGATGATAACGGTGACAACGACGATGCTGGTGATGAGGACGAACATTATGATGATGGTAGTGCCGATGCCAATGCCAATGACGATGACGACGACGACGACGGTGTTGATGATGATGACGATGGTGATGATGACTGTGACGACGACGGCGACGATGATGATGATGAGGGTGCTGATGGAAAAGACGATGACGACGATGATGACTAAAGTGCTTGCTGTCTCACCTTAGAGGCCGCCAGATTGCCTTCGGGCAGGGCCAAGGACCGCCTCAGCAGCCCAAGAAACTTTCGAGGTGGACCCTCGACAGCGCAAGCACGGCCCAGAACACCCCTGAAACAGCCTCAAAACAGCCCGAGAGTCAGTTCAAGATGCTTTGAGCCGTCTGAAGACCGACACCAGACAGCACGCAGACTCCGTGCCCCTCGGTTGGCCTGCGCTAGAACCTAAGCGCGCGCGAAGCGCGCGCGTGGTTCTGGTATATATATATATATATATATATGTGTACGTGATGCCATCCGCGCGGCGCAACGTCTGCAATGCCGTCTACGCGTTCCAATCTTTGGTGCGATTCACCAACGCTCCACGGCGACTTGGGCGGGCACGGTATCATGGCAACGACTACAGCGGTAGTCACGACGATGATCATAGCGATGCTGGCGGCGATGCTGACAGCGACGACGGCGCAGCCAGTGACGGCGCCGATGCTGATCACACCGGATACGATGACGGCGTCTTCGCGTCGGTGATGCAGGTTTTGGAAGGAGTTCGGCATGCGCACGCGGCATACGCGCGAAAGTGGCCCGCATGGTATTATTTGACACGGACCGGGCCACCACAGCACGCGCGCAAGGGCGTTCGAACGATTTCGACACGCGCGCGCGAAAAGCCCGTTTGCAAGCATGCCATGACACTGTTGAACAACTCTTGGTTGTCTGAAGAATTCGCAAGACCGCGCGCGCGCTATTGTTGAATATCCGCGTTGCGAAACCCTGTGTTTTTTATATTTGGTTTAGGCACTCGATTTTGGCATCTCTCCGAAACCACAAGTTTTGAAACATTTTCTGGCATGTGCGCGCGACGACGCGTACGCGTCCACTTCGTCGTTCGTTCTACAAAAG